TATTATAATAAGGTACGAATACATATAATGATCATTGTGTTAAACTATTAAGAAAGCTATACGTTCTAAAAGTATTAGATTTATTATGGTGTTAAAATAATCATCTAAAATGCTTAATGAGATCATACGGTGATAAATAAAGTTAAAAACTTATCTTATTGTATTTTTGGCTCTATTAAGAATTTTGCTTATAATCTTATAGTATTCAAAAGAAAAAGAAAAATATGCAAGATTTATTTACTTCATTAATAAAATTGCTTATAATTTTATAATATTAAAATAAAGAAATAGATACGAATTAATTTATGTATTTTATTAATTAAATAATATACGATATTTTTTTATTAAAAATATAAAAAAAAATTATAACTCAATCCAAATTCATAATTTTTAGAGACTGAACTCACAATCTAATGTAAATTTTATATTTTTATTTGTATTTTTAAAAAATAAGTATGAATTAAGAAATTTTACTAGCTGGAATTCTCTTGATACCCTTTCCATGTCAATGTATATACTGATACTGTATACATACGTATATATACATTATATAACATTAATGATCGCTGAGGGAGTTGGCAGCATCCAAACACTTAATGCTCCTCTGCTCTCTACACCAACCTCTCTCTTCTGTGACCCATCAATGCCTCTCTCTCTCTCTCTCTCTCTCTTTCTTTCTCAATCGGGTAAGATGGTCAGCAATGTGAAGCTCTTTATTATGGCTCATAAGTTTCTTATTTCTTCTCCATTTTCATGCACCTTTTATGCTCTCTTTTTCTTTCTGCAGAGTCCACGCATGGTGTTTGTTTTAATTCCTGCCTTTTCCCTTCCCTGACCTTTGTAGTTACCTACACGAAAAACCAGCAGGTAGGAGTTTGACTAATTGTTCTTTTTCTACACGGTTTATTATTATTTTTTTTAATATGAGATTTTTTCTTTTTGTTTTTCTTTTGAAGTTTACTGTTGGGTAGATGAACGAACTCAGACGGAGAAAACAAAGCTCTAGACTTGAACATAGTCTTGGATTTTTTTTCTTTGGGATGGGCTCAGCATGTACTGCTAATAAATAATTGCTAGAGAGAGATTCATGGGCTGTCATTAGTCTGCTGTTTAAGACATTGGACTTTTTGTGTTGAAGTTACAATAATAATCTTTGATGGGTCGGTAAGAAAATCTGAGTGGAGAGATCTGAAATGATTAGCTTTGGTTTTGGTGAAGGAAGTTACCAATAAAATTTTTATTATTTTGATGCAAAGTGCAACTTGGGAAGCTGGTATTTGTTATTTCAAGTCTAGAAATGGTTTAGTGTTGGATTAGTATAGAAGAAAATGATATAACATCCGAGGTCACTCGTTCTCATTATATGTTCTGATTGAGATTTTTTTCAACATCAATTGGAGCTTAAGAAAAGGCATTTTTTTGGTATTGTTAGTTAATTTATCGGTGGTGGAGAAGATGGTGGGTAGTATTGAGGTGAACAGTTTGCACTCAAATGGGTCTTTCCATAATTGTAATGGTTTGGAAGAGAAGCTCGATGAGCTTCGAGGCCTTCTTGGAAAGGCTGATGGTGATCCCTTGCGGATTGTCAGTGTAGGAGCTGGTGCTTGGGGAAGTGTTTTTGCAGCTTTGTTGCAAGATAGCTATGGCTCATTTCGGGACAAGTTCCAAATCAGGATTTGGAGAAGGCCAGGAAGGGCTGTTGATAGAGCCACGGCTGAACATCTTTTCGAAGTAATCAATTCAAGAGAGGATGTACTGAGGAGGCTGATCCGGCGCTGTGCATATTTGAAGTATGTTGAAGCGAGGTTAGGTGATCGGACTCTTTATGCAGATGAAATTCTAAAAGATGGGTTTTGCTTGAACATGATTGATACGCCACTTTGTCCTTTGAAGGTTGTGACTAATCTTCAAGAGGCTGTATGGGATGCTGATATTGTGGTGAATGGCTTGCCTTCAACCGAAACACGTGAAGTGTTTGAAGAAATCAATAAGTATTGGAAGGAGAGGATTACAGTTCCCATCATTATATCTCTGGCAAAGGGTATAGAAGCTGCTTTGGAGCCGGTTCCCCACATAATTACACCAACAAGAATGATCAACAGCGCAAGTAAGAATTATCCTATGTTACTTCCAGCCATTTTTGTGTTCTTTTAGCTTTGTCTTTGCCAAGGATAAATGAAGTTGAAAACATCTCCAGGTTTCTTTCCACCTAATAGGGCCAAGGATAAATTCAACTCCAGGTTTCTTTCCAACTAATAGGTTCTCGTATCTCATCTTGCTAGCAGCATTTTTGAAGATTAACAGAATTCTGAAACAAATGACCCCATTGAACTTTTTTATTGTTAATTACAGTTATTTGTTCTTCAATCATTGTGTAGTCAGTCCATAATGGGAGCAGGATATAAATTTGTAAGGTAGAATGAAAGAATTGAACACGACCCCTAAAGATTGGCCAAGATCAAACTTTTGAATATGGTCCTACTAACTGCAAATTGACCTTAACCTCCAGACTTGGATGTCTAATATTTATCTGGGCATTTTTGCAATTTCATCATGAAGAATTCACTGCTTCTAACCAACATTGATTTAGTCATATTTTGCTCTTATGATGAGATAATGACAACACTGATATTTAATTCCTAGCAGCTTATCTGTGATTTGGAACTAACAAGGATCTTGTTATTTTTCTGTTGGATATGGACAGAGGTTTTGATAAACTCAATCCTTATTCAAGAAAGAATTCCAACTCTGCCTTTAAAACGTATTAACAAGTATTTGTTTCCTATTTCTGCTGCTATTTTGTTTGATCTATGTAGTTTCAAGTCCCACTCCTTTTCACCTGCTTAATTATCTGTCTCTTCTCATAGTATCTTTTCCTAACTTGAGAACCTCTTAACTTCCTTCATTAAGCTTTGTAGTATTTGTGCCTGGCAGCTGGCTTACCTATAGAAAATATACTTTACCTTGGTGGACCGAATATTGCTTCAGAAATTTACAACAAAGAATATGCTAATGCTCGGATATGTGGAGCTGAAAAGTGGAGGAAACCACTAGCAAAATTTTTAAGACAGCCGCATTTCATAGTATGGGATAACAGTGACTTAGTCACTCATGAAGTCATGGGAGGCCTGAAGAATGTATATGCTATCGGAGCTGGTAAGTTCACTGCCTCACTTGTCAACAAAAATGTTCATATAGTGAACTGTAATTTCAGATTGATGTTGAATTGGCCTCATAGAATGAGTAGGCTGCTGGTAGAACTGAAAACTTACTTTGCATTTTGCAATTAGACAAGCCTCAGCAATAACAACAGAAGCTTTTGATGTTTATTTTTGACATAAAAGCAAGATCTTTAAAAAGACAATCTGAGTATATTTAGACACCAATACATGCCTATTAATAACACAACACTAAGTAACCGATCTTCCATAAGTTATGAACTAATTCATTATTTTGGATATGTTCTTGATATTGACTTTTCAAGTTATGATATGTAAATTTCAAATGCTTTCTTTATAGATTGGCAAGGGAATAAACAGGTGCAGCACAATCAACCAAGAGTATGACATTCTATATTGCATTGTTATAAAATTAGGTAGTTGGGGTTATATCTTTTGGCCTGTCAATCTTAGTCACATAAGATTCAAGTTTGAACTGGCATCAAGTGGTTGGGGGGGTGTCTTGTAGATTCTCTCAGTGGGGAAAACGTTTTGTATGATCTTAGGTTCTTCCTTCGCAGACGGGACATTATAAAGCGCAACATGCACCTAAAAGCAGAGGATTTAATAGTTGATGCATATGATCAAAATTCTATCTGCACATCGGAAACACATAATAAACATTATGTTATCAATTTCCTTGGAGAAGAACTTAAGTATCTATATGTGAACAAAACAATCCACCAGTTGTAAATCTTTTACGACAATAGTAGGTTTTAACCATGGACCTATACACATTACTCAACTTTAAATTGATTTTTTTCAGGAATGGTTGCAGCCCTTACCAATGAGAGTGCTACCAGCAAATCCGTATATTTTGCACATTGTACATCAGAGATGATATTTATAACTCATTTATTAGCAGAAGAACCTGAGAAACTTGCAGGACCTTTGCTGGCTGACACTTACGTAACCTTACTAAAGGGTCGTAATGCTTGGTATGGACAAATGTTAGCCAAGGGGGAAATCAGCCGGGATATGGGTGAGAACATTAGGGGCAAAGGAATGATTCAGGTACTGATGCTGACTTTTTTCTATTTCATTTCTGATTAGTATGGGATGGATTCTTCTTATAGTTTCAATTTATTTGCTGTGTTTAAGTGTCGTAATAATTGGTGAATGTGAAAAAGTTCAGGAAGAAATTTAATATTGCTCATTAATTAATTTTTGTGTGCTTAAGCCAAAAAAAAGACAAGAAAAAGACCAAGGAAAAAAAGATTTATATGCTAGGAAACCTAGATTAATAGCTGCCTGAAATTTTGTTTTCCAGGGTGTCTCTGCAGTCGGTGCATTCTATGAACTCCTCAGTCAGTCAAGCTTAAGTGTATTGCATCCTGAGGAAAACAAGCCTGTGGCTCCTGCTGAGCTGTGTCCTATATTAAAGACACTATACAAGATATTGATAACAAGGTACTTCTAACTTTCTTAAGATTTGAGAAAAGCTCTGAATCTCCTTAATGAATTCTGAGTTAAAATGCAAGACCGACAACTCTTTTTTGTCAATCGTGGTTTCTAATAGGAATGGTTGAACATGTATTTTATTGAATATTAAGATATATACAAATTTTTGAGGATAGAAAAAGAAAATAAATAATTAATTATGTGGGGTGTATTTAACCCTAATACTCTTTAACTTAATTTACATACAATACACTCTCTTTAACATTGCTCCTTAAGTTGGAGAATAGATATTGTTCATTATTAACTTGCCATTAATAGTTTAGAATGCTAAAATGATCAACCCTCTCGGTCAACATGTTTGCTAAGACCACCTATAACATCTCGAACTCTAATGTCAGTAGGTATAAACGTTATCACAACATTTTCAACTAATGGAGCAGATAAAAATTAAATATGCAGCGGAATTATTTTAAAATAATTAAGACATATAAATTAATTTACAATATTAAAATAAAGCTAATAAAATTTTCTTCGTCATCTTCTTTTGATCTTTGACTTATTCTGATCTGGATGAGGGTGAATTGGGGTGAGTTTCACGAGTTCAATAAGAAAAAAATTCTATAATGGAAATTTACGTACATACATTTACGCAATATGTAAAATATAATAATATTTATAATCAAGAAAATATCAAATAAAGTATCTCAATTAAAATATATAACAAAACAAATCATCACACGAAACACATTCCAAATCTCACTCTTTTAATCTAATTCTTATTTTCCTTTCAAATCATGCTCACACTTGAAATATCACAATACACTTGAAATATCATATCTAAGGTTTTATCGCACGATGCCATTTATATTGTCATCGAGGAGAGGCGAAATGGATCTCCCAATCGCATGGATAACACACACATAAATTTTACAATGACCACAGCAGATATATTTCCTAGGTTACCCACTGTCACAAATACCCATCCACGTTTGGATTAGCTTTCAAACTCTATCCATGTGCAGGTTTACCATGATTGCTGAACTTCAGGCACACACACATCCTCCCCTCCTCAATTCAGACTAAACGAGTAGGTATGTAGGGTCCTTACACTCTACACTCTTTCCAAATGTCTCTTATTCCTAATTCATTCATTTCATAGATAAGATCTCAATTTTTATACATAATTAAACACAAACACACAGACAATACACGATATCATCACGCACATAAGAACCATACATTTTCCAACCCACTTTCTGAGTCATCCTATACCAGATCACACAGCAAGCACATGATACTCAGATTTCTCGCACAACTGTACTAGATCATACAATAAGTACAATGTGTCTTATATCTGCACCAGATCATACAACAAGTACAGTGTACTCAAATTTCACATGCATACACTGGTTATCCATTTCACATATATAACATATGTACACACATATTAATACACACGCATATATATTAGAATGCAGACATGTATTTTCATTACATATCTCAAATAAAATATATATTTATATTTATACACACACAATTTCTACAAATACATACGCACACGTTCATACTTAAACACGTACACACAATCATAGACAACATATCATATATATATTTATTAACGTATTTGTTTTTATTAATTCTGTTCTTATCAATTCATATCTACACAAAACATACATACACACAATTTATACACATTTTTATTTACACACATCATATATAATTTATAAGCACAATATTATGTCTCCGTACAGAATACACATAATTCTTATTTATGGTGTGATCATGAAAGTTTTGGAAATCCTTTCTAACTTGATCTACGGTTCTCTCGAAAATCTAAATACCGTTTGGATAATTTTTCTCGTTTATAATAGAAAACACATAAGTTAAATTATAAATAATTTTAAAAACTATATTACGCAAAATTAGGAAGAGATTTTACTTTCGCACACGCGGTGCCAGTCGCCAGCGTCACCACATGCCATCACACGCGTGTCACCGAAAATGTCAAGCGCTGATGATTGAATTAGCGCGCGTTATCGCATGTGGCGCATCAATATCATATTGGTCACCACACTTCCATTTTCTCGTACTTCATTATTTTTTCTTCTTCCTCCTCCTTTCCTGCAACTCCTCTTCGTTTTTTTTTCTTCTTCTTCCTCTTTTCCCACAACTCCTCTTCTTTTTTTTTCTTTCTTCTTTCTTTTTTCCTTTCTTCTTCTTCTACTTCTTCTTCTTTCTTTTTCCTTCCTTCTTTCTTCTTCTTCTTTCTTCTCTCTTTCTCTCTCTATCCACCGTGTGTCTTCTCTCTCTCTCCTCTTTTTCTCTCTCTAACCGATGGCGATTCCTCTCTTATTTCTTTCTTATTCCTTTTTCCTTCTTCTTTCTTCTTCTTCTTTCTTCTCTCTTTCTCTCTCTACCCACCGTGTGTCTTCTCTCTCTCTCCTCTTTTTCTCTCTCTAACCGATGGCGATTCCTCTCTTCTTTCTTTCTTCTTCGATTGCAGCGTCGTGCAACACCGTGCGACCCTTCTCTCTCTCTCGTCGATGCCGCTCGACCCTCTCTCTTCTCCATCTATATTTTTTTCTTCCTTTCTTTTCTTTTTCTGTTACTTAATTATATATATATACATATATATATTATATATATGGTCACATGTTTTCTTCTTCTGCTCCCAGAGCACACTCTAGGTTTTTGTTTTCTTTCTTTCTTTAATTTCTTTTCTTTTGTTTAATTATATATATACATATACATATATATATATATTCCATAGATTTTTTTTTGTTTTTTTTTGTACCCAGCTAGATATTACAAATCTTTCCCCCTTAAAACAATTTGGTCCTCCAAATTGTTTGTCAAGAAGTTGGAATCACTCATCTCTCTACTTGGGGAAATTTTTATTTGTTACTTAGAGAAATTCTTCTCATGTGCGAATCTCTTCTCCTCCTAAGAAATGTAATCTTTTAAATTTTCATTTGCGAGAACTTGAAACAACCATCTATGTATTCTATTGACATTTTCGTCAACAAATTAGAGCGATTATGACATATTCTTTAACGGAATCGTTTTATTTTCAGATATTTTCTTTTTTAATTTCTTATTAGTAAAGGTCTGTAGGTTTAAGGGTGTTTTTTTTTACCTAATTATTTTTATTTTATTTCTCAGTGCAAGGGAGTTTATTTTTTAAAATTTATTGTTGTAATGATTATGTTATCAGAACACTTCTTTAGGAACTTTGTTTCCTCTCTCTTAAGAATTTAATTTCATAAGCACGATCATTCAGAAATTTCAATTCCAATCAAGTGGTGATGTTATAATATTTTCATTGGGTGAAAATATCTTTAGTGAAATCGTAATCATGTTTTTCTTAATTTCATTTCATTGGATTAGTTTCTAAAGCATGTTTCTCTATTTGCGAATTTAAACGGGATGGTGTTTTATTCAAATTTTCTTAAAAACAGTTGGTATAGTTAGAAAAATATTATTTTATCTAAAACCATATCAATCCTTAAGTGCCTAGTTTAATTCATTGGTTTTCTAACTTTTAACAATTAATATGTGACTGGTTGAAATGGGATTAGAGTGTTATAGAATTGATGATTATTTTTTAAGGTGATTAGATATTCTTTTAATAGCATATTTAATCATTAGTTTTGTTGCAAGTAGTTATGTTTAGTTCTAATTCTCGCAAGTACACTCCAAGTTCTCAAGAATTCCAAAAGACTGCTCTTAAGTATGATTCTAAGATATGAATTACTGGTTTATCACACCATCAATTTATTCTTTTTGGTTTGAAGAAAAAAATCATTTGGTGTGGTGATGGTTCATCACACTTCCGTTGTGCTACTTTGGTAGGAAACACATTGAAAATTTGTTGAATAGCTGGATGTGAGCACAACTCCTACAACTATATCCCTCACCTACAAAATTTTCCTAAGAGTATTAGAACTCTTAAAAATGAGAATTCTAGTTAGACATTGTTTGATTTTAGTTCCTGGGATGACAATTTAATTTTTAAGAATATGGTTATTTTTTTTTCTAGAATTCAGAACTACTATTGGAGTCTTTAAACATAATTGGAAAAGAATTTTAGAATAGTGAGGGTATTTGTTTCCATAGAGGGATGCAACGAGAATTTTTATAAAAATTTAAATCGTCATTTGGTTCCTATTAGGTCTAAAATTTGTTAGATAGAGTATGTCTATTTGGGGACTTCTCTCATTTTGAGAATTTCTTCATATTGAAAAATTTTCTCACTCGATGGATTTTCTTTCCACTTAAGGAATGTCTCTTATTTAAGAAATGTTGTTCTTATTCGGAAAACCTGCCTGCTATGTGAGAAAATTTATCACACTAGAAAATTTTCTTCCCTCTAAGGGATTCTGATCATTCGGGGAACTCCTATTTAAGGGACTTCTAGTGCCACTTTGGGGACTTTCACCTAAATGGAAAGTTTTCTCCCAATTGAAGCATTGGTTCGAAATGGAAAAGTGTTTCTTGCTCCTAGAAAATTTTCTCATGTATGGAATACATAGTAGGTCACTGTCAAATCTTTCTTTAATAAAGTGTTTGTCGATTTCAATATGTTTAGTACGATTATATTGTATCGGATTGTATGCATAGAGTATTCCCACTTGATTATCAGATTTTTTAAAATTCATTTTAACCATAATAATTCACATATCTTTTAGGCCATTGTTTATGCTCAATTTATAGTCATAATATAAGTGCATAGAGTATTCCCACTTGATTCTTAGATTTTCTAAAATTCCTCTTACTCGTAATAATTCGCACGCCCTTTAGACTATTGCTTGAAACTCAAATGCTGCACTTAATCTTATAACTATATTTTGCTTATTACTTCTTCAATTAATTAGGTTATCCCAAAGGAATATACAATAATCTGTTGTAAAGTTTTTGACCAGCACTAACCCTGCATAATTTGCATCCCATATAAGTTTCTAGGAGCAATCTATCACTTTATGAATAAGGTCTCTTTTTTAGGTGATCTTTTTAAGTAATGCAGCACTCTGTAGGCTTCCTGTAAGTATATTTCTTGTGCATGAAGTGATTTATAACGCTTATTGCATAGATGATGTATGGTCATTTGTGGAACAGGTATATCAATCTGCAAACAATATCTTATGCATTCTTTATCTATTAGTGTATCTTCTTCTACCACTCCCAATTTATAATTGGGATTTAATGAAAGTATTAATTGGTTTATATGTTAGTCTGCAAATATCTCTTAACAGGTCATAAATGAATTTTGGTTGAGATTGGGAAGTCTTGGATTTTGAGGGAGTGATTGCAATTCCAAAAAAAAATAATTCAACTTAACACTTAGATTTCAAACTCTTATGTTAGGCGTTGCCATAGCATTAAATTTTTTTTTCATTTTTTTCTTGTTATAATAATGTCATCAACATATATAAATAGAGTATGGTCTATCTGAGTCTATCTATATCCCAAACCTATCATCATCTCGCAAATCTATTAAATCATGCTCTTGGCAATTTCTTGAGTCTATAAAGTGCATTCTTCAGCTTACAAACTTTATTTGGTTTTGTTTCTCAGGCAAAATTTGGTAGAGTTTTTATGTAGATTTTTTGTTCCAGATCTCAATGCAGGAAGATATTTTTTTTACATTGAATTATCATAATTGCCAATCAAAATGAGTAAATAAAGATAATAAGATTCACACTATGTTCATTTTGACTACTCGTGCGGATGTTTTTTGATAATCTATTCTATAAGTCTATGTATAGTCATTTGCCACCAATCTTGCATTATACCTCAATTATTCCTACTATCTTGTATTTGATTGTAAACATTCACTTGCATCTCATAGTTTTTTTTTTCCTTCGAGTATGTCCACTACTTCCTTGTTTGGTTCTTTTTTATTGGCTGCATTTCTATATTCATAACATTTTTCTATTTTTAACAGGATAGTATCTTAAATACAGTTTTAGAGATAGATTTAGTATTCAAACTTGTAAGAAAATTTTTATGGAATTGTGAAAACTTATCGAGTGATATAAATTGTGATATCGGATAAAGATGACATTTAGTGCATTTCCTTATATCTTTATGAAGTACAATATGTAAATAATTAGACTGTGTAGATTCAAGACTTAAATTAGTTCCAAAATTAAGGTTGGATGCTTGGACCGGCTTAAACTAAGAACTTAGATTCTTCCTCCTTGTATAGACCTGAGTGAATTTGGAATCAGGACAATTTCTTGAGTAGATAGTTTATCTAAAGAGTTCTATGGATTTTTCTTGTGATGGTGGTGTTGATGGTATTTGAGTATATAACAAGGATGGCAGAGTAAATTCAGTTAGAAATTTATATTCTTATCTTCCATTATAGATTCCTCTTAAAGATAAGATTGAATGATATAGGGACTTGTTCAACAAGATGGCTTTTATTGACACAGAATTTTTGTGTAGCTAGGTGGTAATACTTGTATCACTTTTTAGATGAGGGTTACCCTAGAAACACACATTTTAAGGTTGTGAGATCAAGTTTCTTCATTTGATGGTTGTGATTATGAATGAAGGCTACATACCCAAATATTTGAGAAATCAGATTGTTTGTAACACTTATTTCTAGGTAAACTTGGAGAGTGCTTCTAGAAGAATTTTGAAATCTAGGACACTAGAGGGCAAGAGTTTAGTAGTGTAGGTGGCTGTAAGCACTTCTTTGCCATAATATTGTTCTGGAATGTTGTTTTGAAAGAGAAAGACCTATTGGTGGCTAGAAGATCATTATTTTTGAGCTTTGCTATCCATTTTGTTGTGAAGTATGGATACAAAATGATTCATGAAGAATCTCTTATTAGTGAAAAAACGATGAACATGTGTGATTAAAAAGTATTTTGTATTGTTACTACAGAATTAGTTTATGCTAAGTTCAAAATTGGGTCTTTTTTTAATATTACAAAATTGAGG